CATCACCCGCACCCGTCCACCATAGCCAACCTTCACTTACCTTCTCCCACCTCCGTCACCTACACCCATCCACCATAGCCAACCTTCGCTTACCTTCTTCCACCTCCATCACCCGCATCCATCACCATAGCCAACCTTCACTTACCTTCTTCCACCTCCATCACGTACGCCCATCCACCATAGCCAACCTTCACTTACCTTCTTCCACATCCATCACCTACGCCCATCCACCATAGCTAACCTTCACTTACCTCCTTCCATCTCCATCACCTACTCCCACCCACCATAGCCAACCTTCACTTACCTTTTTCCGCCTCCGTCACCTACGCCCATCCACCATAGCCAACCTTCGCTTACCTTCTTCCACCTCCATCACCCGCGCCCATCCACCATAGCCAACCTTCACTTACCTTCTTCCACCTCCATCACCTACACCCATCCACCATATCCGACCTTCACTTACCATCTCCCTCCTCCGTGACCAATACCGATCCACCATAGCCGACCACCTCACACCCTCTCCGTCCTCTATCATTTCCCTCGTCCGCACCAAAGTCCTAGGGACCCCAGGGGGCACGCGGGACCTTAGGTAGGGCTGGTTGGGGTAAGTCAAGGGGCGAGGTAGGACCTTGGGATGTGGAATTTTTCATTTTTCCTCTCTCCACCTCTCTCCCTATCTCTTTCTCTCCCTCTCTCTCCCCCTCTCTCTCTCTCTCTCTCCCTCTCTCTCTCCCTCTCTCTCTCCCTCTCTCTCTCCCTCTCTCTCTCTCTCCCTTCCTCTCTCTCTCTCGTTCTCTCTCTCTTCGTCTCTCACTCTCTCCCTCTCCCTCCTCTTTTCCTTTCCCTCAAGCCCCCTGACACTTAACTTTCCCCTCACCCCTTCCCCTCCATGGCATGTGACTAACCTCACCCCTCACCTGCTACATTGCCAGGGAGCGAACGACAAAGAACTTGATCCTCACTTGGTGGAAAGCGAGGGCAAGGGGAGGGCTGTCGGTCCCTTGCGCCGCCAAGAAGGAAAGGGTACCTGATTCTTGTGAACATCTGGGGAAGCGCTAAAAGGAGTGAAGTATTGTGACAAGGTCAGTTTGACTCAACCATCTTCCCCGACTCCATGACTAAGGTGAAGGCATGGTTTGCTTGAGGGGTGGGAAAGACAACCAAAGGATCATCAAAGACAAAGGAAACTTAGGCCTATGGGAAGGGGCGGTGTGTTGACCCCAATGGGGATTGTATTTGGTCCGTGCTTTGTGTGTTGTTGCGCAGGTGAGTAGCTTGGGATGGGTTTCGAGGGGGACCGGATCCGCCGGAAAACTGACAAGGGAAGAACTTAGACCTCGCTCAAACCATGAATGCAGGATGGGTTTGATGGTCGGATGCTTGGATGAGTGGTAGACGCCTGGATGTGGCTTGTGTGATGAGTGAACACAATGGCTCTCTTGAATGCAATGCAAGCCCGGAAGGACTAAGGGCAGTCTTAGATAGGTGAATGCAATGCTAGTGGCTCAAGCAAAAAAAGTATAACGGCTAGGGGTCCGGGCGATGCCACCCCACCCCAAGGATGCCATAGGGGTTGTCTTGAGCCACTAGGCTTAGTGAAAAGGTGTGTGGCCCAATGGATGACGCTTGGCCTACACACGAAAGAAGACGAATTTCCAATAAACTCTCTGGACTGCCTTCGTATTGGAAGGAGCAATTGCCTGGTCAGACTTAATTAAATCAAGGAAACGCCACGAGTGACCAAAGAGCTACCATCTATCGCGAGGGTGGAGCTACATCCCCCAATGTAAAGCCCTCTCGCAAATGGCCCATCCCCATCCATCTCATAGCACTAGGTGGGGGTGCCCCTGGGACGAACGACCCGCGCCCTGAGCATGAGCGTGGGCGGGTCGAGCCAAATGGGACCCGCAGTAAGGGTCGACCAAGGCTCGAAAGTCCTTCAGGTTACGGCCCTTACAATGGTCATCATGCCAACCCGTTGGGACTAGTACACGCATGCTTTACCGCAAGTCCTTGTTCTGTTGTTGCGCAATAGAGGTCATGCAGGGCATGCCAACCCTTTGAACAGACGTTTACCAGATCGACTTTAAATATTCCTGGCGGGGACTCGGTGTTGATTATGGTTCTGATCGTCGTCTTGTCTGCGACGTTAAATAATTCCTGAGGTGTTACGGGGGATCTCCTTAAATGCCTCCTGATCAGCCAGATCAAACCGGGTGCGAGGCTCGTTGCATGCGAGGATAAATAATGTGCAGGGGCTGGCAGGTTTGGTGTTGACTTTGGGCACAGGGGTGGGCCGGATTGCACACCTTCAGACACGCTGCTCAACCAGATGCTCAGGGCTTTGACACAAAGTGACAACTCAAGAAGGATATAGGGAGAGAGGGGATTCCGGCAACTGTTCGTCGTAGCATCAATTAGATAAACTGCCATTCAGCATACATCTCTGCAGGGAACATTATTTTTATTTTTGATTATTTAGTTGTTACGGACTTGACTAAAAACTGACAAACAGTTGCAGATAGAGTATATTCTTTGCTGCAATGCAATCTGCGTCAGAGTAATCTAAAAATAGATTTAACATTCCTTATAGGATCTGACATCCGTTGTCACCTAACTGCTTAACTGTTTCTGTCCAGGCCGACCGAAGATTGTTGTGAACCATACTCGGTTGTGTGTCATGCTGAGGTAGGATTCAGTGTGGATTCTAGTTTAGATCACACACACTGTAGCTCATGAGTGATGCAATCAGTAGTGAGGAGGAGTTGTTAGTGGATGACCTTAGGATCACTCGAAGAAGTGCTCTCAGTCGACCCTTGACTTCCTAGAGTTAGGTCGAGGAGACGAGAGAAGACTGCGGAGAGAGGCTAGAGAGAGAATAGCAGCAAGAAGAGTGAGAGTGGCTGAGACCAGCGCCAAGTCTAGAACTACAGCTAGTACCGGTACGACCATGGCTACCTCCTCTACCATGTTGCAGGCCTCTACACAGGCCACTTCGTCTGGAGCCGGTCAGAGTGGTTCTCAGACATCCGTTAGCCAGAGTGCTAGCTTGCAAGTCAGCCAACAGACTCAACTCACGTCGAAGGATTATGAAATCCTCGCTAGCAGAAGAACTTCAGGGTGAACTACAACGGCAATTGGATGAGGGAGCAGAGAGAAGAAGAAGACCATGAGAAAAGCTAGACTATGTAGTAGATTGCAAGAAGTAGGCAAGCTAGACGCACTAGATGAGTCTGCACTTGATCCCGCTATGTGAGCACTGCGGAATTCGCTCCTGTGTGTGGCGGAGACGCAAGTTGTTCAGCAGGAGGTGTTGGTTGAACTAGTGGCAGGCCAGAAACGAATTTTGGCTGCACTACAGGCTCCTCGTCCAGTGATGAGGCAGCCTCAGTTTGCTGTAGCTCCCCCATTGGTTGCGGGTCCATCAATGACGCCGTCGCCAGTTGGGCCGTCATTCTCACCTATGTTTGGCATGCCTCCTCCAGGTGGTTATGTGGTGACCAGTGGTCAGATTCATAGTCTCTGTTATACCATCGACAACAGTGGTTACTACAGTCACATTGTCAAGCCAGGCCCAGGTTAGTGTGCAGCAACCTGTTTCGGTGGCTATGCAGCCACTGCAGCAATCTCCTGGGCCATGCAGCCTATGCAGTGGATGCCCAAAATACGCTTGTAGAGTCCTAAGCCCTTCTCTGGCAACAGGAAGAAGGATGAGGACTTGGATACGTGGGTGAGGACGGTGCCTACCTATGTGAGGCACAAGCTTACCAGGCCGGAGCAAGAAGTTGTAGTGGCTGCCTCCTTTTTAGAAGGGTTAGCAACTCGCTGGTTGAATGGCATAGTGCAGCAACAGGGCTACGGTCAGAACTCCGATGTCTGGGCCCAGGCCTAGACATTGGAAGAGTTCATACGGTCCGTGTATAGTAGGTGGCATGATCCTCAAGGGGCTCAAAAGGCCACAGATGCAATCAACAATCTTTGTGCCAGAAGGTACAAGAATGTTCATGAGTTCACGGATATCGTAGAACATCTGCTCGTGGTACCTTGTGTACGCTATGATCAGCAGGTACTCCTCACAGATGTCTGCCTTCAGAGGTGAGGACAAAGTTGGTGGATGAGGCCTATGTCGAACAGCACAACTTCGCTTCCTTCAGCAAGAAGGCCTTAGATATAGAGGCAAAACTGGGGTCCGCGCATCAGAGTCAGGGAGATGGTAGGAAGAAGAGACTCCCCCAGGATTGGAAGAAGAAAGGGTAATTAATGTTCGTCGACCACGATGGTAAGGCGACAAAAATTGACGACTTCCCAGACCTTGGGGAGGAGACAGAGCACGATGGGGCGAGCGAGACTTCGAATGGGGGAGTTGTGGCACCCATCAAAGAAAAGGCTAGGGGGACCGGGAAGAAGAAGGTAGGCCGGTCTATGGGTCAGGGCGACCGAGGAACGCCCGCATGGGTGAAACTTGGTTTAGAGTTTGAGGTGTGGAGGGACCGAGTTGCTAGGGGTACGTGTATGAACTGTGGCAACTATGGCCAATACGTCCAGAATGTGTCGAGGTAAGAAAGTCCTAACGAGGGTAGCCTCTCCAACGGTGGTGGGACTATCTTCGAACCCTGGCGGTGTTTCTACGAGCACTTCGTAGGGAAACACCTCGGGCCAGTAGGAGTTTTAGCCGCTCTTACTCGCGCTGAAGTGGTAACGTTGCCTTCCCCACTTCAGGCGTTGGCTAGTGACCCAAGTATTGCCCAACGTACACATTCAAACCCACCGACGCTCTGTTCGAGAGATGTGTCTGAGGCCCTAGAAGAGTTAGAGACTGAGTGGTTAGGGAAGGACCTCAGAGACTCTTGGGCGATGATCAGTAGAGGTCCAAAAGGTGAACCCTTTGTGGTAGAGGTTGATGTAGGTGGCTGCTAGGTGGGCGCCTTCCCAGACATAGGCTCTACACGAAACTCCATCAGTCGTGCTTGTGTGGATAGACTGTGCTTAGGGGACGAAGTGCAGCGGCTTAGCAGAATTGTAGCTTCTACGCTAGCCAACAAGCACCAAATGGTAGTTAAGGACTATGTCAAGGACGTAGTCTGTTCCTTCTCTTATGGAGGAGGGGAATTGAGACACAAAATCTCATTCCTCGATAGCGACGAACTGCCTTTCGACATGTTACTAGGCATGTACTACCTCAAGGTTGCTCAGCCTCAGTTTGATTGGGATAGGAAGGTGTTGATACACAAGCTGCCAAATGGTAAAACCGTTAGACTGCAGAAGTATAAAGCTAGCAGGTTAGTGGAAAACTACGGTTGCATGTGTGCCTCCTCTTTCTATAACTATTATAAGCAGAATCGCGAGGAGGGCATGTATCTAGTCTTTGTCTCTTAGAAAGGGGAGGCCGTTAAAACACCCCAGAGATAGAATGAGTCGTCGCGCAATATTCAGACCTTTTTTAGGAGCCCACAGGCGTGGTAGATAGGAAGGTGGTCCACACAATAGAGGTTGTCCCAGGTAGAAAGGTGCCTAGAGGACGAATCTATAGGATGTCTCCTGCGGAGTTGGATGAGCTCCGCCGCCAGCTCAAGGAGTTCACAGAAAAGGGATGGATACGGCCTAGTACCTCCCCTTACGGCGCACCAGTCTTATTTGTCTCAAAGAAGGGGGGTACCTTAAGGATGTGCATTGACTATAGGGGCCTCAATACCATCACAGTAAAGAACGCAGAGCCCCTACCCTGCATCGACGACCTATTGGATAGAGTGCAGGGAGTCGGTACTTTACTAAGATAGATCTAAAGTCCAGATACCATCAAATTGCCATTAGACCTGAGGATCAACACAAAATCGCTTTTCAGACCAGGTACGGTCTGTACGAGTTTGTGGTGATGCCCTTTGGCCTATGCAATGCCCCTGGGACATTCCAGCATGCCATGAATAGGATATTTCATGAGTACTTAGACAAGTTTATTGTCGTACCTCGACGATATCCTTATCTTTAGTAGGACTGTAGAGGAGCACACTGAGCACTTAAAAATAGTGCTAGGTCTCCTAAGACAGCACCAAAACAAGGTAAACTTGGAGAAATGCGAGTTCGGTCGCACCAAGATCTTGTACTTGGGTCATGAAATCTTCGCGGATGGGTTGAGGCCGGACGATGCTAAGGTGGCCAGCATACGTGACTGGCCCAGACCTCAGACTGTTACTGAGGTCAGATCGTTTTTGGGGATGACGGGCTACTATCGTCCGTTTGTAAAGAACTATAGTACTACAGCTTCCCCATTAACAGATCTAACTCGACTGGACACCCCTTGGGAGTGGACTGAAGAGTGTGAGGCGGCCTTTAGGAAACTGAAGTATGCCCTGACACACTATGAGGTTCTTAAACTTTCGGATCCTGATACGCCATTTGTAATGATCACAGACGCCATTCAATATGGCATTGGCTCGGTCCTTGCGCAAAAGGAGGGGCCCAAGTTGAGACCTATCGAGTACATGAGTAAGAAGATGCCATCTCAGAAACTAGCCAGGTCTACCTACGAGCGTGAGCTCTATGCCCTTTACCGAGCGTCGGTCCATTGGAGGCACTATCTCCTTGGCAATTTTTTCTATGTAAAGATCTGACCATGAGACCCTGCGCTGGATCAACACACAACCGGTATTCTCAGATGCACTCAAGAGATGGATACAAGTGATAGACATGTATGACTTTCAACTTGATATTATCAAAGGAGATTACAACAAGGTGGCGGATGCATTATCTCGACGGGCAGATTACCTGGGCGCGCCAGTAACTGAATTCGGTATATCTAACGATTTAACTCGATCATTGGTGGAAGCCTATCAGCAAGACTTAGTTATGTCTGAGATCATCCATAAGTTCAAAGAGAAGGATAGAGTAACTTTTGACGAAGTTACGATGGTAGATGGCTTGTTGTTTCTTGAAAAGGCAAGGAATAAAAGACTGTGTGTTCCCAGTAGTGAGTCTTTGCGTAGTTTATTCTTAGGGGAATGTCACGATGCAACGGGGCATTTCGGTTATAGAAAAACTTCAGCTAACTTAGTGCAGAAATTCTAGTGGCCTTCTATGTTGGAAGATGCCAAGAAGTTTGTTGAAACCTGACAGGTCTGTCAACGTGACAAACCTAGAACTCAGGCTCCGCTTGGGCTCATCAACCCTTGTCGGTACTTTAAGGCCCTGGTCAAAGTGTCTCCATGGACTTCATGGATACTCTTATGACCAGCAGGTCTGGGAAAAAACACATCTTCGTTATAGTAGACCGCTTATTAAGTATTCAAGACTGATCGCTATGCCTGAGATTGCTAAAACTGACTATGTCATCAGATTGTTCATGGACAACTGGGTACGGGACTTTGGTTTACCTAAGTCTATCGTCAACGATAGGGATGCTCGCTTTACGAGTGAACTGTGGCAGAACACTGCCCAACAGATGGGAACCAGACTGCAAATGACGTAAGGGAATCACCCTGAGTTAAATGGACAGGCTGAACAGATGAACAAAGTAGTGCAGCATCTACTAAGGCACTACATTAAGCCAAGCCAGGATGACTGGGACGAGAAACTACCTCTCATCGCCATCCTGTACAATAACGCAGTGCATAGCGCTACTGGCATGACTCCCAAGCAACTGCATCTTGGTTGGAAGCCCCGTTCCGCCCTCACTACTACCTGAAAAATAGGCTACTGCAACACCCGGTAGCATTGAATTTGCTGTCACATACGAACAGATGCTGCAGCAGCCCGTTGAGCACATGAGGAAATCTCAGGATGCTATGATTGCATCTGAGAATAAACACAGGCGACCTTCTAACTTTCAAGAAGGGAAAGGGTCCGGGTAAAGTCATCTGAACAGACTAAATTGGGACAGGAAATGGGAATATCTAGGAAACTAATGCCACAATATTTCGGTCCCTGGGAGGTCCCGTTGAGCACATGAGGAAATCTCAGGATGCTATGATTGCATCTGAGAATAAACACAGACGACCTTCTAACTTTCAAGAAGGGAAAGGGTCCGGGTAAAGTCATCTGAACAGACTAAATTGGGACAGGAAATGGCAATATCTAGGAAACTAATGCCACAATATTTCGGTCCCTGGGAGGTCCTGGACATAGTGGGGGAACAGGTGGATGGACATTCTTATGTGATTCGCGCCCCACCTCATCTACGGACGCACCCTGTTTTTCACTCATCTAAGTTGGCACCTTGCGCAGAAACTGTACAGTTTCCCTCTAGACGGTCAATGCTGCCCCCAACCATGGATGGTGAAGTGGACATCGACCAAATCGTGGAGCATCGTCTGATGCCTGTTCCTCGACCATTGGGCAAAGGTCGCCCTCCTAAGCCGAAAATGCAATAGCGGGTGAAGATCGGTGGTTCACCAGAGAACAACTCATGAGAACTGCACCTCAAGTCATTGCAGGCTACGAAAAAGATCTCAAAGGGAAGATGCCTGCTAAATAGAAGACTTCTCAGAGGACTATGGAAATACAGGAGGAGGGAATGCGAGGATCTGGGTCCTCGGCAGGCCGCCCTAAGTGAAGGCGGGCCTAACAAATTACGAGAGGTCCTCGGCTGTCAATTTCGTATTTGGGGTCCAGGCAGTTTCGTCGCGCCAGTTGGTTGAGGAAAACACAGGCCGAGCAGCGAGACTTTCGACGACCTTCTAGGCCTTTCCAAAATGATGCAGGCCCTGGACGAGAATGGCAGCCTCATACACAGACAGTTGGGAGGCCCAACCGAAGGAGGCCCAGTAGCTGCAAGAGAGGCGCAGCATCCTGGGGCCCACCGAAAGCTTCTGGGCCCAGGCCAGTTCAGCCAGGCTGCCGAATGAGGCAGGCTCTTTCCATATAGGAAAGGGCTCGCTGCCTGGAGATTCATTCGGGCACTCGCATGCTGGCGGCAGTGCTGAGAGGCAAAGTGTAAGAATATGCAGTCGTGCAAGGAGAAGGGCGTTGCTGAGGGCAGCGCCATAGCCCAGCCACCATAGTTGGCGGGCTTGGACTACAGTGAGGCGCAGGGGTGGTCTTCGGGTGTACAGAGGGAAGACGTGGTGTAAGACGAGGGAGAGAGAAAGAGAAGGATGATGATGATGATGATGATGATGATGATGACGTGAGGGCACATACCTGGTATTGGCGATGGTCTGCAAGGGCGACATCTTCAAGTACTTCGGAGGCTGCTGACGTCAACAGTTGCATTGTCAATTAGTAGGCTAGTAGTAGCTATGTAGGGAGTAGGCTGGGCGCTGAGTGCCAAGTAGGGAGATAGGGACTGGATACATATGTTGGTGGTGGCGAGAGCAAGCTCTCATTGACATTGGTTTTCAGTGCTACGATTCTCCATTGGTGTCATATTGTTGCAATGCTGCTTTCTGAACACTGTGATACGATCTGGCTTTCAATCTGATTGTGCAATCTGAATATTGTCATCTCGCTATTGCTCATTTTCCTTGCATTTGGGAGGTTTCCCTTGGGCAATGGGTGTGATGACTCAGATTGTGTGTGTATGTGTGTTTGAGAGAGAGAGAGAGAGAGAGCGAGAGTTGTGTTC